AGTGTCCTTTGAGACATCCTTTCAGCTGTTCAATTGCAAATGACATGAGAGAACTTGGAAAGAGAATTGGATAAAGGAAGAAGAAGAAACAAGAGCGGAAGACGAAGAAGAAGATGAACACCAGCAAAGACCAATGTCAATTCCCCTTCATCTCGCCACCGTCTTCAACCTCCAGTTACTTCCCTCAACTTTCTTCTAAACAACAGTAATAATAATAAGAATGGACCAGAACCAATGTCCGAATCCTCCGCGTACTGCTAGCCACTTAAAGCGTCCACCATAGCCATCCACACACCTTCCTCCTACTTGGTCGAGCAGGTGGCTATGGCTGAATATTGGAGTGAAGCTCTGATGTTCGAAGGACAATGCAAAGCTAATGTGTCCCTCCTACTATGGCCGCGAAGTATAGCATCACCCCTGAAGCCTTCCGTGTAGGTCCCAACCCCAACTGGGGCCTTCCAGGTGCAGCGCCAACCAAGAAGTTGAGGATGCAGACCACCATAGCCAGGTAAGCTCCCTTGTCACTCCCCTCCTTGATCACCATCTTCCTCCTCCTCCTTCCCTCTTGGTCTCTTCCACCATAGCCAGCGTCACCTTGTTCCTACACCGAGTGCTCCTCCACTTGGGCAGTCGCTACAGCAGCGTGCCTCCAAATTGCACATGAGCAAATGAGGAAGAGCTCTTCACTGTCTCCCTAGATATACCGGTGTACTGCCTCTTCAGGCGGTGCTTTTCCATCCTACGTGGGCCTAGTGTACTTCTACTTCCCGATGTGTCCTCACAAAAGCACGACCACAGGTAAGTACCAGGCTCGAAGGCCTTCCCAGCACACAAGTACCCTGGTGGGTCACACACACCCCCAAGCTATCATGTAGTCAGGCAAACACATGGAAACTCAACGATCATGCACACACAAGTACTTAGAAATCTCAGCAGAATACGTGCATCTCAGTAAGTCACTCTGTCAAGTGGGCAGAAAACAGCAGGTCTTTCAGTTTGTGATTTTGCAAGTTATTAGATTACCCCCCCCTCAAGAGTGAGGTCCCTTCGAGTGACTAGACTGATCAGAGTCCCCACAAAATGCATTGTAGGCTATGAATGCAAAGAGTGCTGCTGTGTGTTCATAAACAGTGCGACTATCAGTGAATGTTGGTGTTTGATCAAAAGCAGTATGACGTGCATATGCATTAACTGCACGGGGTACAGTCTTGAGTATAACTTTGCGAGATATCCAATGCAGTTCTTCTAACGGATGATACCAAAAATGAACCTTGTACTGTCCTTTACTATGCTTTTGTGTTCGACAATTCTATCAATTTTGTGACCGCCATCAAGATCATGAGGAATTACACGATCGGGATCAGTGAGGGAAATAGCAGCAGTGTACAGATAGAGTTTAGAAGCATGAAAGACTAGGTACGTGCTCAGATGAGATTGCACGTCAATCACATACGAAGGACTGAAATCATCCTCTCGCACGACTTTCAGAATTTCCCAAGGGCCGTATTTTACGGGACACTCCTTCCTCATCCAAAAACTCAGAAATCTTCACCCAAAATGTAATCTCCTGGTTTAAAGGTCGCATGTTTGCATGATGGCCGATTGTCGGACTTGATCATGGCATCCCGACGCTTTTTCATTGCCGCGATAGCAGCCTTGAGCAGGCGCTGGTACTTTGCCCCATAACCAGGCATGCCGGGAGTCAGACCAGGCGATCGGTTACGAGTCAAGAAAGAAAGAGGGTTGTGGATTTGCCATCAGTACTGCAACTTATTCGGCGGCATACCGGTGGCGGAATGAATGTAGTTGTTATACAACCCCTTCACAGCATCCAACTCTTCATCCCATGTATTCGGATCAGGAATGATTAAGGCATGGAGTTGGGTGACAACAATCTGGTTGATCTCTTCAGCCTGTCCATTGGCTTCTGGATGATGACCAGATGTCATACTTAGTTCAATCCCGTCGAGTTGAGTCGTCAAGTCCTTCCAATCTGAAGTGATAAAACGGGTGTCCTAATCACTCACAACAGTTTTCTGGGAACCGTAGTCGTTTCCTAAGCAGCTCCGATTTTTTTCTGAGCCAAAGCCAGGTAATGGCCCCGGTATCTCAATTTTCAAAATTCTATGTAAACTTTCATATGGGACGCCAGGCCCGGTTCCCAGCACGTGCTGCTTTTAAAAAGAAAAGGGGCCCCATGGGGTAGTCAAGTAAAGTATCCTGTAGAGTTTTGGAAATTGCTTTGAAGTCCTAATGCTGCTGTAAGTGAACATACTTCTGTTCAAACTCATGAATTACCAGTTCAGTTGCCGCATGGGGTGGTAAAGGAATCAGATTGAGGAATTTGGAGAAGCGGTTGATGATCACCATGACTTGAGAATTCCCCCTCCCACTTATCTTGCCCATGTCTGTGAACAGTGTGAAGTCGATAGAAACCAATTCACTAGGCCAGGAAGGGATGGGTAGGGGTTTCAGCAAGCCAAGAGGTGGTCGCCTATGGATCTTAGGCCGCTGACAGGCTTCACATTCGTCCACAAACTTACATGCATATTCCTTGACGTGCGGCTTCTCAAATTGCTGCGATAAACTTCCATAAGTCTTGGTGAAGCTGAAGGGTCCGCTCCGACCGTGTACCAGATCCTAAAATTGGGTTTGGAGAGGTGCATGGTCTGTAACACACAATTTGTTGCACTTCCCATATGTGCGAAACAACAGACCCTCACACTCGCGATAATCGGGCTGACTGCTCGGGTCAGCCTTGAGTTGCTGAAGGATTGGACTGTAGTTTGGATCCTTGGTGGTGTGCTCTACAAATTCATCCTTCAATTTCTGTTTGAGGTTGCAGGAGCGCACAAGGGGTGGCGACACAAAGCGTCAACAACTCGGATATAACAGCCTTCCTTATGTTTCAGCTCGAAGTCATTGACATCAATCTCATGCAACCAGCAGGATGACGTTGTGGACAAGCTAGTTTGAGACTTGATCCATTCCAAGGTGTCATGATCTGAGAAGACCTTGAAGTGGCGTCCCAAAAGGTAGCGCTTCCAATGCTCCAATGTCTCTCTCAAGGCATAGAGCTCAGACATGTATGGCGTCCCAAAAGTTTGTTGCATGAAGAGCAGTCTGATTATCCACTTGGTTCGTAGGGCTTTGAATTTGTTAGATGGGTCTATTAGGCTCAGTCCTTCTAATGCTGCCGGTATAGTTATGTACTTCCATGCTACTTTGGAAATGAAGTTTACCTTGGCCGCGTCTCCTATCCATAGGTAGGCTGCTGCTTTTCCTGCGGATATGTTTTATGAAGTGTTTTGGGGGGTTCCAAATCCAGGCTTCATACCAGGTAATTGAGAAGTCACAGGAATTGAGCACTAGGGCTCTTCCAAATATCGATGTATATACTTCTTGCCAGCCTGTAAGTTTGCTTATGACTTTGCTAATAGGTTTGTGGCCATCTTGTCGCTTGTGCTGCTAGTTGTACCCCTAGCACTCTAAGGGGTTGCTGTGGGTCTAACCACTGGAGGCCTTGCGTTTCCTCTTCTATTGGTGGAGGGGTTGTATCTGCCATCCACCATCCTACGGTTTTTGTCCAACTGATTTTCATTTCTGAAGCCAACTGGAATGCCTGCATGGCTCTTATGAGGGCTTGGAAGGAGGAATTGTTTGCCCTGACAAGAACTGTGAGGTCATCCGCGAAGAGCATTATTGCTGGGAAATTGGTATGTCCACCTTATCTGTGACTCAGATGAGAATACAGCCACCCTCTTGCAAAATAGAGTCTTCTTGTCACTCAAAGCAATCATTTTGGATATAAGTTCCACCTCCATTACTCAGATCAGGACACAGCCACAACAAGCGTAGTAACTTGGTATCCATGACCACAGCACAGGGGTGCAGGAAAGGGATCGGAAGATTACGCACAAGGAAAACATGCGCAACATGCCGAAAATCCATAAAACTCGGCCAAGCCCCAATCAAACATCTTCACAGATTTCTGAGAGTGCAATCTATGATGGTCGTTGCATGTGCTTCTTCTCGGCTAACTCTATCCTGTCCCCAATGACATGTCAAAACGCGAAAACAAAATTCAAATCAGGTCACAAGATCACACCAAAACATTCCTGAGCTCCCTCTACATGCCCAAAGAATTCATCGTAGGGATCCGTTCACAGTGACAGTCCTTGAAATCAATCACATCTCCTAATCCTTCTTTTTCCTTCTTCCTTCTTCCTTCTTCCTTCTTCCTTCTTCCTTGTTCATCTTGGTCGTACTCCTCGTCTTCCTCTTCTCCTTCGTCTGGCAACATGTTTGAAGGCATAGATACAACAGCACGATTTCATGGCCGAAACTGCTTGCGAATCCGAGCCAAAGTGTAATTTTGAATTCTCAGAATACTCAGTTTTTCAAACAAATCTTTTAAATGTGGGTTATCTTCACTTTTTCGAGAACATTCAACTTTTTCCTGTTGCTTTGCGAATCCAAGCCAAAGCGTAATTTTGGATTTTCAGAATACTCAGTTTTTCAAACAAATCTTAAATATGGGTTATCTTGAAATCTTCACCTTTTCGAGAACATTCAACTTTTTCCTGTTGCCTCTGACCAGAATTTGGTGCATATTTTATTATTTTTCCATTTGCTCATAGGCAGAAGGGGAATGTTGTTCACTTCAACAATCATGCAAATGTTACACAGTACTACACATAAAAAGTTACTAATTATATATTGTCAAGCAGTGAAAGAGCTCAGGTTCCTTCAAGTTTCTGAATGTCAGGGGAGTAAAACCGAGCAATTGCCTAATGTAGCTGTCCATTATCGTTTTTTTTTTTTTTTTTTTACAATTTGGACCATTTCTCGATTTATGCGTGTAATCCTTGCGCAGAGGCTATGCTAATCTTCTCTGTATCGTTCCAATTTTAACGGATGTCCCGAAGGACCGTTTTTTATTTTTTTTTGTTATTTCTAAAGTTGAGTAGAACAGATTCTACACTTGATCTTAGTCAAAAGGTTGAGAAAGGCCCATTATTAATCGTGTTTGGTGGTTCTTTCCTTTTTCCCTCCTCTTGGTTTCTTCTTTTCCTCCCCTGCATTATCCTCTTGTTATTCTTGCCATTGTTACGCCTCTTTTGTTGTGGCTCTTCTCCTTCTCTGCCTGATCTCATGTTGCTCTCCTACGTGCTCTTCTTCTTTGGCTTTCTTCTTTGTTTTCATTGTAGTTGTCATTGTTGTTTTCTTCTTCTTCTTTCGCTCTTTTTCTTCTTCTTTTGCCTTTTTTCTTCTTCCGATCTTCTTCTTATCGTCCTTTTTCTCTCTTTCTTGGTTCCCCTACTCTTCCGTCTCCTCGTCTTGTTCCTCGTCCTCCTCCGCCTCCTTGTTATATTATATCCCACAGGTTCAGTGATCCTCTCTTAAATGTTTCAGCAATGAGGAACCTCTTCATCATCGCAGAGTCCCAGGTGCGGTGCCAGTTGTTGGCATCTTCTCAATGTGATAACCATGGACGTTCTGATAAGGAAGACCGACTTGTGTGGCTCACCATCAACCCTGAGAATTCTCATGTGTATGCTGCAACTATTGGAGGGATGGTCTTTGGATTCAGGCGCTCCAATCCATCGGAGGTAGGAAATGCTTCGATGTTATCTTGTCCATTTTCTTGACTGTGCATTCTAAGTTCTAACTAATGCTGTCTTGGTTGGTAGAGGGCCACTCTTCCTTTGAGCTTTTGCTTCTCTACTACAGTACTATCTCGCCAAGCACAGAAGCAGAAGGCTCTCATTGGTTTTGCTGATGGCCTGGTTCCTCTTGATTGTTACTGTTTTGGACTCTCACAAACCTTGCGTAGGTAGGCAAGTTTTGTGCTCGACTACTGTCTTCCCCCGTAACAGTACCATCATAATGAATGTATAAAAGCTCTTTCCGGTTGGATACGGCCAGGATGAGGGTCCACGTATTGTCCTTGGGGGAAGATGATAGTGCCCTCACAGCCCACTTCAGATGAAGGCCCAGGGCCTGCTGGTGCTATCGTCGTCCTGGGGAAACCATGTAAGGAAAATAATTCAAAATATTATCCTGGATCCAAAACCGGTCAGGCTCATTCTAGGAAAATATGAACTTGGATCCAAAACTGGCCAGATTCATTCTAATTTCTTACTTACGGCAAAGATAGATGGCACCTCTGGGTGCCAGTTCCCAACTCTCAGAGTATCTGCATAATGTATGCCCAAGTGCGCAAACTTGAGCGTATTGTCAACAACGACTCAGCATGGAGCTCTCTTTTTTTCTATTTTCTGGTTTAAACTTTAAATTTTAAGTTTAAACACTTGACTCTTTTCCATGGTTGCCCCGGACCCGGACATCCAGACACCAGACACCGGACACCGGGCCTGGACCCGCGTCTTGACTCGTGATTAATCCGGACGTCCGGTAATCCGGACACCGATCCGGACAACCGGACATACGGACCGGGACGGGCCGGTTATGAATGAACAGGTCCGGATCTCCGCAAAAAAAAAAAAGAAAAACAGACACACACTGCTCGTCGGCGGGTTCCAACAACCAGTTCTCCTTGGCCCGCTGAAGCTCACCCAAGATTGCAAGTTCAGGCCCTGCAGGACCGGTCCGGTTGGCCCAACGGTCCACCAGAAACTGTGCCTGGGGCCCAACCGGACCCCCCAAACCTGACACTGGATCCGGACATCCAGAAAGGACCGTCTGGATCCCGATCCGGACGTCCGGTTAACAACCATGCTTCAACTTTCGGCCACACCCCACATGAGCGCCATGTCGTCAGTTTTTGTGGGCGGTCCAGAGTCGTCAGTTTTTGTTTCATTGTTCTTTTTTGTTTCTTTTTCTTTTTTTTTTCTTTTTTCCCGCCTGCTGCAGACGCCGCTTCGTTCCAGAGGCCACCTAAACCGGTACACCCGCGAACTGTTCAAACTTCAAACACAGACCTGAGATCCAGCGGCCACCTGAACCGGTACAACTGCAAACTGTTCAAATGCAGACCGGAGTTGGAATCCGGATATCTGATCGATTGTGTATAGCGACCCTATGCGACCTCCCTGCACTACCGGACTTACCTGCTCTACGCGATGTACCTGGGCTACTGAATGCACCTGCCCTATAGGACCTATGCGTCCTATCGTACATGGCCGACCTGCACTACCGGATGTACCCCCCCTACGCGACCTACCTGCACTACCGGATGCACCTGCCCTGCGTGACCTACCCTACGCGGCCTACCCTACGTGACCTACCTGCCGCTACCTCTCTCTCTCTCTGTCTCTCTCTTCTCTCTCGGTGCTACGTGCTTCGAGCTTTGATGCTACTCTCTCTATCCCTCTCCCCCCCTCTCTCTCTCCCTCTCCCCCTCTCTCTCTCCCTCTCCCCCCCTCTCTCTCTCCCTCTCCCTCTCTCTCTCTCTGTGCTACCTGAACCGGTGCTACGTGCTTCGGGCTTTGGTGTTATGTGCTTCGGGCTTTGGTGTTATGTGCGTCGGGCTTTGGTGCTACGTGCTTCGCTAGAGCTACGTGCTCTGTGCTTGGAGCTACGTGCTTCGTGCTTTGGTGCTACATGCTTTGGTGCTTCGTGCTTTGTGCTTTGTGCTTCCTGCTTCGTGTGTGGAGCTACGTGCTACGTGTGCAAGGTTCTACAGCTACGTGCTAGAAATTGGTGCACATCCTCTCTTTCTTTCTCGGTGCTAAGTGCTTTGGCGCTCGTGCTTTTCACGAGCTACGTGCTTCGAATTGTTGCAACTCCTCTCTTTTTCTCTCTCGGTGCTACGTGCTTCGTGCTTTGGCGCTACGTGCTTCGTGCTTTTGTGCTACGTGCTTCGTGCTTGGAGCTACGGGCTACGTGGTTCATGCAACGTGCTTACATGCTAGGTGCTAATGAATTGGTGCAACGTGCTACGTCCAACAAACCGGTGATACAAATTGGTGCTACATTCTGTCTGTCTGTCTGTCTGTCTGTCTGTCTGTCTGTCTGTCTGTATCTCTCTCTCTCCATTCAGTGTGGATTGCTGCATCATGCTTTTGGTGCTATGTGCTACGAGCTATGTGCTTCGTGAACTGGTGCAACGCGACTTCGTGCGATGTGAATGGGTGCAACGCCAATGAGTGCTACACTGTATGTGCTACATGAATTGGTTCTACAAATTGGTGCTGTGTTCTACACACTATGTGAATTGGTGCAACGTGCTTGGAGCGGCGTGCTATGTGCTCCTCTCTCTTCTCTCTTCTCTTTCTCTCTCTCTCTCATCTCGCCCTCTCTCCTCTCTGCTACATGCCACTTGAACTTTGATGCTTCATGCTACGCGCTGCGTGAACTTGGTGTTTCATGCTACGTGCTACGGGGTGGGTCATAGTATGTGTGGGCTGGATGGCTGGCCGGTGAAGTGCGGGGCAGGTAGGCAATGCTACATGGGGGGTACTAGGTGGGCTGGGTGGTACGCATGTCCAAGGGAGGAAAAAAGAAACACAGAAAACAAAAAGAAGCCAAGCCCATGTGGCTGAGTGGCCCATCCATCAACTCTTGATAGATAGATCTCAGCTTGAATTCTACGAAGAGAAGTACGAGAACCAATCTGAGATCTTCCTTTTTTTTACTTTTGGGGTGAGCTCCCTCTGGATTCCAGCTTGTAACCTGGATGCCAATGGTCATGCGTCTTCTCTCCATCGGAACGGGCTTGCTATGTACTTCGTATTCGGACATCTAGCAGAAGCCACAAACACAAGAAATATGGAAGCACAACTCACCATGGAGTCAGCAGAAAACTATGGAGCGAAACAAAGTACTTGAAAGAAGCAAAGCAAAAGAAATACTCATGTGTCTTCTCTCCATCCGAACGGGCCTGCTATGTACTTTGTATTTGCACATCTAGCAGAAACCACAAACACAAGAAAGATAAAGCAAAACTCACCATGGAGTCAGCAGAAAACTATGGAGCGAAGCAAAGAACTTGAAAGAAGCAAAAGAAAAGAAATAATCATGTGTCTTCTCTCCATCCGAACGGGCCTGCTATGCACTTGTATTCGGACATCTAGCAGAAGCCACAAACACAAGAAAGATAAAGCAAAACTCAACATGGAGTCAGCGGAAACCTACGGAGCGAAACAAAGAACTTGAAAGAAGCAAAACAAAAGAAAGAAAAAAGTAAAACAGGCCATGGAGCCACCCGTGATTTGTTGATATACAGACCTGAGCTCAAATTACGTTGTGAGCAGAGATAGAATGAGTTAACTGTGAATTACCTGGGGGCGGTCAGCGTGATGATGATATCTCAGGGTCGTCAGACTCGTCACCCTTTCAAAAAATATAAAACAGAAGAGTGGAAAAAAGAGATGATATCTCAAGGTCATCACCCTTAAAAAAAAAACAAAAAAAAAGGAAAAAGAGCAACAACGGCAACAAAATGCAAGAGGTTCGGAATGATGGAGCTGATGGACGAGGGCATGCCCTCTGTTTTTGTTGTTTTTGTTTTTTTTTCCTGTGTTTCTGAAGCAGATCCTCTTCGAGTTTTCTCTACTATCGCCTAAGGGCGGAGAGGAAACGGGAGGACTAGAGGACCAATGCGAACATCAGGCGCTGGAATCATTCGTAGATCGCATCAAAGCCTTTGAATACTTGGTTGAAGAAGAGGCACTTCTTGTGGCTATGGAGGCTGGAGAGTTGCTTCTTCTTCATCTTGAACAGCACGAAATTGAATGCGTTGGGTTGATCCAAGGTGGAATTGCTGGTTTGTCCTGGAGTCCTGACGGGGAGGTCTTCGTTGTCACGACCCTGGACAGAAAACTGCTGATGATGACAAAGGAATGGGAAGTCCTTGCAGAAGTGGACATGGAAAGCGGCCAGCAGAGTCAGGTAATGAATGTTATCATTGTTATGGCAACATGCGTGCAATGAACAACAGAAAGAAGAATACTGGAATAATTCGGTCTGTGTTAACCCCTTTAGAAGCTCAGCTCCTGTGTGGAAACCCTCGTTAGAAGTTTTAATAACTTTTGAACGCCTAAGTCGCGGGTTCAAATCCCGTTTTTCCCGGGAGGTATGGATGTTTATTATTATAGGGGTATGGGGTTCTAGACACAGAAAAATACGAGCAGCATATCAATTGAATTGATTGAATGGTTTGTTTTGAACTTTTGATATAGATAGGAACGTTTTGCTACCCATTTTCGACTCTTCTATTCATTCAGTCCTTCAGGCCCTCCATCGTCCATCCCCCCGTCTCTCCCTTTGGTTCCCTCCCTTCAATGAGATTCATTCCCTTTAGTCTCTTCGGTCAATTAATCCGAGCGCTCCCTTCAATGAGATTCATTCCCTTTAGTCTCTTCGGTCAATCAATCCGTTCAATCCGTTCGATTCGCTCGGTTCGCTCAATCCGTTCAATCTGCTCAATCTGTTCAAACCGTTCGATCACTCAAATGTGTTCAATCCGTAAAAAAATTGAAATCTGTTAATCTTTCAATTTTGATATTCTTTTGGGGCTCTAGTTTGACTCTCTGACTCCATTTTTTCAAATTTGCCGTCTCTTCACTTCAGAGTTCATTTCTCACCTCTCTTTGAAGTTTGAACCCCTTTTTGTCCCTCCCATTTGACTCCCATTTGACTTTTGCATTCCAGGGTTTTTGAAAATTTCTGATTCCTTTTTAAGCTCTTTGTTCTTTATGTTTTTCTTTTGCTTGCAGCCAGGCAAACAGAAGAGTTGCTATCACCAGTTCGCTTCTGAGCTGGTGCATACTCATTTCATCACTTCCGAGCATACATACGGCGCATCACGTGCGCGCAAGTTGCATACGTGCGCCGCATAGCGCACTCGCACATGTGATGCGGCACAATTACAAATTAAAAAAATAAAAAAATAAATGCGTGCCTCCCTTTCGAAAATTGTAACTGCACAGAAAAAAATTCCAAAAATATAATTTGGGGCCACATCGTACTCCTCATTGGATTTAGTCTCTTTTCCAAAGGGTCCCCTGCATAGAATTAGCGGGGATCCCATTCACTTGGAAGAACGCTTATGTGCCTCCTGGAGAAACACAAGCAGACCAGCAATGTATTCTGGATTCGGATTCAGGTCTGTGTTCCAAGAGTTATGGGTTACGAACTTACTCCAAACACTAGAGCAGCTGTCTCGTTTTTATGTTTTTCCTTTTCTTACGTGCAGTGGCCCTAAAGGCCTCGCTCCACTCATCAGCACTTGAACAAAAGAAAAACATATGGCTTGTATGGTTCCAGTTTCTGGGAGAAGATTCATTCTAGTTTTGCACATTGGGTGAGTAGTGGAGTGAAGCCCTGAAAATCACATGCCGAGTTAGTCAGTCAGTAACCCACAACTGCTGAAACACGGACCTGAATTCGAAGCTACACCACATATACCTGGCCTGCTCCCTCCTCCTTTTTTTATTAAAAAAAAAAAACAGAACCTTTGGGTTCCATTCTGGGGAGCGTCAGTCCGGTTCCTATTCCACCGGCAAGTCAGAAAGGAACACAATGTATACTCTATTACTCACTCACGCTCCTTCCCCTCATGGTGTGGAGGCCCGAAGGACAGCATTGATTACCTCACAAAGGAGGGATGTACCACCCTTCACCCCTGCCTAAGTTAGCCTGTTCTACTGTGTTTTTCTCTTACCCTATTTGGTGCTTAACCCCTAAGCCCTCGCTGACTGCGACTTGCCTATGGTCTATCCCTTTCGGATGTTTAAGAATAGAAGCTGTTGAATAAACCTATAGTGGTTACTGGGGTCCGTCTGTAATCTTGGGAATGCTAGATAGTGAAGAGGGGTCTGTTTGACAACCGATTGAGGTTTTCTTAGTGTGATTTGAGCTGAGGTTTTGGGGTTACTGTGCTGGGGGGGATTTTGGGCTAGTACAATGTGTTGGGTTATAAGGGGGATGTGGTGGAGGGGGGGGGGAGGAGTGGCCTGCTCCCTCCTTATTACAAGCCCAGCGACTAATCTTCTCCTGTTGACGAGGTCCTTGCTGACTTCGGGCAGGGACCTTTTGAAGTACGGGCAGTGGGTTTCTGAATATGTGAAAGGGCTCTTTGCTCTCTCTCTCTCTCTCTCTCTCTCTCTCTCTCTCTCTCTCTCTCTCTCTCTCTCTCTCTCTCTCTCTCTCTCTCTCTCTCTCTCTCTCTCTCTCTCTCTCTCTCTCTCTCTCTCTCTCTCTCTCTCTCTCTCTCTCTCTCTCTCTCTCCCCCCAGCGTGTATACACGCATCACAATTGCTGCTGCTTCTGTGTGTGTGTGTGTGTGTGTGTGTGTGTGTGTGTGTTTCGCGCATCTGCGATCAGCGCACCGCACTGCGCAGCGCTCCTCACATATGCACCGCAAGTATGCATCCAAGTTCCAAACTGCAAAAAAAAAGGAGAGGAGGAGGTGGGGGGGGAACAGAGCAGCTCCTATTACCAGCCAACTATCATTGGTCTGCTTTGCCCCAACGTTACACTAGGAGAGACCTGCCGTCCTCTGCTTCATTGATATTCCTGCAAGTGACACGTACTAGTAAGTTGAAAAAAATTATTTGTGCAGCTCTGGACCCGTACATGTTTGGCACAAATCATTGACTGTTCAGGGAGGATGGCTGATTGAACAGAATGGTCGTTTTTTCCTGTTCGCCAGCGTGTTTGTGATGTAAGGATCAGCTGGCGGGGTGATGGAAAGTACTTTGCAACATTGAGTGGTGCTGGGCAGCAAGAGACGGAAGGAGATGCGATTGCCGACGTTGACCAGAGCTCTGGCCGGAGTGCCGAGATATGGGAGCGCGAGGGATGTGTGCTGCATTCCTGCACGGAGAAGATGAAGAGTTTGATGTGCCCGGTTGCATGGCGGGCGAACGGGTCACTGATTGCTGTGGCCAGGAAAGGAGGTAGCAGCTGCCAGCAAGTCACAGGCGGCAGAGGAAGCTCTAAGGTGGCAGAAGCCGCGGCAGACGGCGAAGAAGGAAAGAATGGAGTTGAAGTGGTGTTCTTTGAGAGGAACGGGCTGCGAAGAGGGGGCTTTTGGTTGGACCGTACTCTTGAGGATGGTTACCTCTGTGTAGCCGTTGATCAGCTATCATGGAACATGGATTCGGAGCTGCTACTCGTGATCGTACGTGGTAAAGAGCGGTCATACGACATTGTCCAGGTCTGGTTCCGAAATAACTACCATTGGTATATGAAGCTGGAGTGGCGGTTCGGGATGGGCTTAGGGGTGCATGCCTTTTGGGATGCTGAGCGGCCACTGAGGCTGCATGTATGGACAGCTGTTGGTACCTATAGATGCATTGATCTTGGTTGGGACAGTGCTGTGGAGAGACGTGACCAAGGAGGAAGTCCCACGGCAGCAGTGATCGATGGACGTTTCCTTCGCATTACGCCATTGGCAAACTCTTTGATTCCTCCTCCAATGTCCGCGGCAGTCATTGTCCACAGTGCTTGTGTTAGGTGTGCTTCTGTATTGTCTTTATCAGCAGGGTTGAGGAAAATGGGAACCGCTGTGCCGGAAAGCAATTGCTCTTCGATGGTTGCAGCAGTCCTATCCGATGGCTCGCTGGCAATCCAAATTTCTGGTACGTTGAGCTGGATAAGTGAAGAAGACGTAACATCAGAGAACTCGCAGGAGAGTGTGGTCGAGGACGAGTGGGGAGGAGCTATGCTGTCCGCAGAGAGGGTGGATCTTAATGGGCACAGAGTTTATGCGAGAGAGTTGGCATGGCTGTCACCTCATTCTGTTCTGATGGTTGTGTCCGCTTGCGATGTGACCATGCAGGGAGAAGAGTGTGGTGGCAGTTACAATGCGGTTGACTCTGCATCACGTGTAGGCGACTCGGATGGGGATCTGCTGGTGGAGGTCTTGCTATTGTCAGAGGAAGGTGGGTTAGAAGAGAGAGGGGAGGGTGGGGATGCGAGGAAACAGTGGAGGGGAACAGTTGTCCGTGAGACGCGGACCCGCTTGCCGGTGGTACGACTTTTACGAGATGATGTCTCTAGCTGGGCGGAGGGGACACCACCACCCTCATCTGTTGACGGATGCTCCAGAGTCCTCGTAGAAATAGAAGATGGATCCGTGGACACATATCTAGAAGGTGTGGGGTTGATCAGGAGGAAAGGGGAGGGCTTGAATGCAGTCGTCGAATCGTTTCCTGAAAGATGCCCTTGGATAGCAGCAGCAAGCTTCGGAAAGGGAGTTGATCCCCAGATTTGTGTGATTGGCCTTAGCGGCAAGGGATTGTTGTATCTGGGCAAAAGGGTCTTGGCGGAAGACTGTGTAACGTTTGCTGTTCATTTTGGCAGTCTTGCCACCACCGAAGGTGCCGAGGGGTCCGGAGGGGCAGAGGAGTGGGAGGGGGAGGAACAAGAGGCAGTGTGTAATGTTGTGTTCACAACGCGGAGAGATGTTATGTATGTCCTGCGATTGGGGGATTGGATAAGTGCCTCCTTCCCAGGTTTGGGACTGATGGGGAAGAAGACCAATGGTGTCAGAGGGGAGGGGAATTTCACGATGCTCACAGGGGATGAGGATTTGACCGAGTTTGTTGCGAAGGAATCAGTGGCAGCAGTAGGAAAGGTAGGCAGTAAGATGGCACAGAGCAAGGAGAGAGGATGCGAGTTTACAACACGAACAGTTTGGGAACGAGGTGCTCGTATTGTGGCCGCACTTGGGGGAAAGGAGGCAGGTGTGATTGTACAGACTGTGAGAGGGAATCTGGAGACTGTCTTTCCCCGCGCCTTGGTCTTAGAGGAGGTAGGAAGGGCTATCCGTACGGGCAATTATGGAAGGGCAATGGAGATGGCCAGAAGGCATCGCCTGGATTTGAATGTCCTCGTAGACTATGGGGGGTGGCGATCTTTCCTGAAGAGAGGAGTGGAGAGGTTCTTGAATGCAGTGGGAAACCTACGCCATGTTTCAGAGCTTGTCCTGGCTCTCAACTCCAGCAATGTGATGGAGGGTGTCTATCATGGGTACATATCCAGCTGGGATGGGGGGGTTGCGGGTGACCACCACCATGGTCATTTTGGTGCAAATGGCATCAACAGCCATGGCGATGTGTTTACAGCCATTACCGGTGGTAAATTTTTGAGTAGCGTCGATGACACCGTCTTCGAGAATGGGAAGGTGCATGCGATTTGCAAGGCAATCCGTCAAACATTGTTACAGAAAGGCCAGGACGAAGATTTTGGGAAACAAAGGAGTAGAGATTTAGAATTGTGCGTGCTGACAACGCTCGCCCGAAGCGATCCTCCTGAGCTCGAGGAAGCCTTAAGACGCATCAAGGTAGGTAGGCGTGCAGCACTGTCCAACGCAGTAACTATGGAAATGAACTGCCTCACAATCACATTCACAATTTGGTATACCTGCCTGATGAGTCGTAATGACTGAACTGCACGCGCACACACATCTGTACTTTTTTGGTTTATGAATGGTTTGTGATGGTATGTGGATGGAATGAGAGAGAGAGTTTGGGGATGTTGTAAAACCACACTATTGCCTTTATACTCTCTGTTTGTAGATGGTTTGTGGATGATTTGTGAATGGAACGAGGAGAGAGTTTAGGGTTGTTTTGACAACACATATAGCCCGGGCGAGCTTTTGTCTTCATACATATGATGAGAGTCTATTCTCCACTCATGTATGGCACCCTGACATGTCATGTCCAATTTGTAGACGGGCTGGAACGGCAATGCCTCTACAATTGCGGTCGACGTGCCTCTGTGTTCCTGGCATGTAGGAGCCACGTAGCCTGTGACATCTGTCTACGCCGTGCCATTCGATGCCGTAACTGTGACTGTGAGCACTGGATGCGGTGCTTCCACAGGCCACACCCAAACCGGTCCTGTCCGGTCGGTCTGTAGAGGTGGCCACTTACCATAGGCAAGAACTGCTCCTCAAATCTTATTTAACCCACACATTGGCTGGCGTCATGTGCCATTCTAGAGTGGTCTGCCCCAGCGGTCACTATTTAGAACCCTGTCAGAACTACGTCTCCCATTTCCTTCCTCCCTCCTCTTGTGTATTACTAGTAATACATACGAATGACTATCATTACGAGAACAGACAAAATATAAGCTGAAGATCTGAGAAGAAATGAACAGGAATATACCTCCGTCTTTGCTTTGCCTCCTTTCATAGTGTGCAAGTGGGCCGTTATGGCACACGGGGATGTGGGCAGCTCGCGCTCAACCACAATCAACGTGGCGAGCCTTGTGCATGAGAGTCACAGTGAAGGGGGAGCTGCAAGAACAGATGACGGGGTACCCCGAAGAAAGCAAATGTGAACACATTCAAGAAAGGGGTTTACAACTTTACATGCTTCTATTGTACTTCATGTTGGTTGCTACAGAGGTGACACTGTTTCATTGTTGGGTTGTCTGAACTCAAGGGCTTTCGTTGTCTGTAATAGGATTGATTATGCTTTGATTTGGATCTGCTCATCTGGGTGGAATAGGGGCTGTTGTGGTGAAAATTCAAAACACACACCCACACCCAGAGGACGACAGTACTGCACCTGGCATGAACATAGAAATCCTGTCTATGGCATTTATGGGACGATGACTGTGACTCCAGCCTGCTCTACAGAATTATACGCCAGACATGGACGCAAATATTCGTGCGTACATCCTGCATCGTCCGGGTCATTTCAGTGCTGTTACCTTTGTGGATAATTCATGGACCCTATGGGACAATGGCGGCAGGGGACACCGCGATGGGAATTATTAACTCTTTTCTGTCACGGAGTGGCAGAATCCCACTCAGTCTGGCTAGTCAACCAGGAACAATATGTAGATGTGCACTTGCGAATCTACAGCCTCCGGAGAACAATCCAGTTGAACCTCCTCCCTCCCCTGTACATGGCCAGGCAGGGTCCCTTCCTTGTCTATGTTGGACAGATTCTACCGCGGATCATGAAGGAGCCTCTTCCGAGGATGGTGGTTGTGCCATGCCATTGTGTCTCCATACAGCTACTGTCCGTTTAGCATGCGCGTGACATAATCTCTGCTCAAAATACTACGAGGGGATGGTCACTGCCAGCCTCTGCCTCAAAAACTGCGACCCATTGTCTTGCGCTCGTCCCACCCACCCCCTTATTACTTGCCCGATATGCCTTTGTGGCCCATGCTGAAATAGCTGCGAAGTTGTGCGAACGTCAGCCTGCTTTCCTGCGAGCATCCCAGCAACATGCCATGTGTCGTCAATGGTTACAGGAAGCTATAGTTGAAAGTATGTGTCTCTACTGCATGGACTACCCCCTATGCCATCATCCGCCACATCCTGTCCAAGCATGTCCCACATGTAGCATTGGGCATACACCGGCGGCAACCGCAGTCAGATTTTTATCATCCTGGCCAGACGAACAACAGGCGGAGCAGCCTGAGGTGGAAAATACACTATCACATCTACAGCTTGCTGTAATGAAAGGTTAGCACTGCTAGGGTGAAGCTGTTGCAAACCAGATCTTGCAACAGCTAAACACCCTAACTCTGGATCAGCCTCGTCGTCGCCTGCCCATATGGGGGGGGGAATAATGACTGGACAAACCCAAGAAACATGCTCAATGCCGCTCTGTGATGGCCCACCTGAGATTCGGCTAGCGTGTGGCTTGCATTCTTTGTGTCATGAGGATTATGAAGGCATAGCCCATGCAAGTTTTTGTTTTCATGCATATGATGACAGTCAACATTGCACTCATGTATGGCACCCTGACATGTCATGTCCAATTTGTAGACAGGGGCTCGAACGGCAATGCATATACAATAGCAGCCGGCTTGCCTATGTGTTCCTAGCATGTACGAGCCACATAGGTTGTGACATCTGTCTACGTCGTGCCATTCGATGCAGCAACTGTGACTTCGAGAATTGGGTGCGGTGCTTCCACAGAGGGGTGGCCACTTACCATAGGTAACAGCTGCCCCTCAACTCCAAATCTTCTGTAAACCAAACACTGACTGGCCCCTTGTGCCATTTTAGATAAGACTGCTCCAGGGGTGAGTATCTAGAACCCTGTGAAGTTCATCATATCTCTGTTCTGTCCTTTGCCACTCCACTTTCTCCCCTACCCCGTTTCGTTTCCCTCCCCCCCCCTCAATCCCTATAGAACTCCACATCCTACCCCTTGCCTTCCTCCCTCGCTTTGTGTACTACTGGTAAACGTATACGAATGAGCGTCATGAAGAGAACAGACAAAATATAAGCTGAAGATCTGAAGAAAAATGAACCGGAGTATACCTCCCCCTTTACTCTGCCTCCTTTCATAACGTGCAAGTGTGCCGCACAACCAACGCGGCCAGCCTTGTACATGAGAGGCATAGTAAAAGCGAAACTGCAAGAACAAATGAAAGGGGTACCCCAAAGAAAGCCAAAGTAAACACAGTTGACAAAGGGATTTCAAATTTTCAACGGATTTATTGTGCTCCATGTTACTTGCTATAGGGGTAAAACTGTTTCATTGTTGGAATGTCTCCACTCAAATGTGCTTCTTTGTCTGCAATAGGACTAAAGCTGCTTCAATTTTGGTTTTACTCATCTGGGTGGATTAGGGGCTGTTGTGGAGAAAATCCAAAACAGACACGGGGAAGCTTTCCTTTGTGGAGTCGTCTATAGTGAATATGACAACACACATGCGCACAGGGGAGCGAGAAGAAGAGATTAAAAACAAAGTGAAACCACAAAAATCCCAAAGTAAGGAAAGCGAAGAAGAACTGCAAAAGGAAAAGGCAAAACATTGAAAACAATGGTTTAAGTGTGCTTCATGTTGTCTGCTGTATTTTCTTCGTTTGCTTTCCAAAGTGCCCTCTTTTAGTTGATAGATATGTTGGGTGAAGCTGTTTCAATTTTGAATCTACTCATTTGGGTGGAAAAGGGGTTGTCCTGGTGACAGCCTAAACACACACAATCAACGTTTGATGGGTGGAACAGGGGCTGTTGCGGTCAAAATTTACAACACACAACCGCTGATGATCAGACCAGAGACTTTGAAGTTTGATTCTGTTTGAACGCTGTTGGATATGTGAGGGCTGGAAGCCTGAAGTAGTGAAGGTGTATTGAACACTGTATTCCATGATCGATCATTAATTTGTAATTTGTCGGGCCATGAACATAGATATTAGTATCATATTACTTATAAGCATTAACAAAATCACAATCAGAACAGCAGATGCAAGTAGAAACACAAACCGAAGTTACCTAACTCAAATGTAGAGCACATATTTGATCAGATGTGAGTATGAAGTTACTATGAACATAAACACGATGTTTCAAACAACTATGTCGCATGCACAAATAATAAAGTTAGTAAACACAGAATCACCAGTGGAGATTGTACACGGCGGGCTCAGAAATGAAGAACCCATGTAAGTGCGACCTTGTCCTGGGTGTCGGAGGCATAAAATGTTTGAAGCTAAGTAGGCAAACTATTGCGGGTCGCCATTTGAAGCCCCCCCCACTATCAAATAGGTTCCTCATTCAAATTGGAACCCCTTATAGTAGGGGTGGATCAAAATTCCTTTCTCCAAATAGTTTAGTCTGATGACTTTGTTCTACGTATGTGGATGAACTGCCACCAAAGGATAGGGAATGCCCGCTCAAAAGACGTCTACAGGCTTGGCTGAAAAAAACTTGACGTTTAGCACGCAGCGAACTTGTCTGGCTGCTTCTTTTTTTTCCCTCTGAATCTTCTGGAAAATTTATCTGGTTTGCCCTGAAAATTTCTGGACTTGTCCTTTTCTTTCCTTTGTCTGTGAACTGACTATGTGGAATGTCTGACATTTGCTGCCAACCGCACAGTTAATCAAAGAAGGAGAATTTGGCAAAACTATTGGCCAACAAGAGGAAGAGGAAGAGGGCAGCCATATGATGAGGGACAAGCGGCAAAGGGGTCTGAGCACTGAAGATGCGCTGAAGCATCTAATGGTTTTGACCGATTCCAATCGTCTCTTCGACACTGCACTGGGGATCTATGACCTGCATTTGGCCTGTCTCTTATACACATCTAGATGTGTATAAGAGACAGCAGTTAATCAAAGAAGGAGAATTTGGCAAAACTATTGGCCAACAAGAGGAAGAGGAAGAGGGCAGCCATATGATGAGGGACAAGCGGCAAAGGGGTCTGAGCACTGAAGATGCGCTGAAGCATCTAATGGTTTTGACCGATTCCAATCGTCTCTTCGACACTGCACTGGGGATCTATGACCTGCATTTGGCAGCAATGGTTGCCTCGCACTCTCAGCGTGATCCGAAGGAGTTTCTTCCTTTCCTTCAGGTAATTGAGGGGTGAAAACTTGAGAAAGCTGATTCTTTCTTCCCCCCTCTCTCTCTCCCCTCCCCCCCCTCCTTTTAAACAGTTCTTCATGGGCCTGGCTCCATATCCATTCCGGGGAGCGTCAGTCTGGTTCCTATTCCCCTGGCAAAGTCAGAAAAATACATAATGAAGTTAATGAACCCACTCTTGACGCCTCCCTATGTTACGGCCCGGGAACCATGACAACACTGATTACTTCCCTTGGAAGGATTGACTGTCTGTTAAAACACGAGTACTTCTCCCTAAAGTCTTGCCCGTTAACAAGCCACAATTTTAGGAAATGTACAGGTCACTACAGGAGCGCCCAAATTCATCCAACTAGAAACGTTTCTACTCTATCTTTTTCCATGGCCGATAGCTGGGCGAAGTACTTGTGGTTTAAACCACCAGTATGCGATGAACATCAATCACACTGGAGCTTTCGGGGGTGGGGGGCCATTGATGAACGAAATCAAAGGCGGACCCAGTCCCCAAAAGTTGCGGCGCATGCCATGTCAGGCAGAAACAATTGCCTGGTAAACGTACTGGTCGTTTAAGCCAAACCCCTCCCCCTACAGATAGAAGTGCGCACAGAAACACAATGTCACAATCTCTCGGAGTAGGTCCTCTCAGTCCACAAATGCAGACTGTCTGAAAACTTGTCCCAGCTTGGAACATCCGATCCAATCCTTGAGGTTGCCTTTTTGCTGCTGCCTTCCTGCTCCAGCTGTTTGACTTGGCCATTCTGAAGCTGCTACTTTCTGCTTAGGGGATCCTGGTCCAGCTGTTCAACGTGGCCTTTATGAAGCTAGTACTTTCCTGGTCCAGCGGTTGATTTGCGAAGCTGGTACTTTCCTGGTCCAGCTGTTTATGACGCTGGTACTTTCCTGGTCCAGCTGTTTATGA